AGCAGCGACGCGCGACACGTCTCCCATGTTCTCACATTCGCGCGTTGGACTTCCATACCCTGTTCCCCTTACCTTCCTCCCACTCACCCCCCCCCCCCTACCCTTTACTTCCTCGCCCACGCAGCGAATTGGCCCCTCCGCCTCCGAGACTATGCACGCGGGAGCGGGACGGGGGGAGAGCAGTGAGGCACAAATCTGTGATTTGAAAATCGTGAAAATCACGCCCGCGTTTCGTGAACTCTGAATCCACACTGATGGTCTAACATTGTGCTTAGCGGGTCAGTGGCGCACTTACTTGGCTTTGTTTCTACCGGGAGTGAAGCTTCTTCGTTTGCAAAAGCCTGCATTTAATTCTATTTAATTGCGATTCCCGCGGGAAAATTCCTATACATGTATATGTTAATAGCGTTATAGACATTCATAGGAAATCTACTATAGAATTCTTTTACAGTGCGCTTAAAAATACGCAAATTTGAATTGTGACTCTTTATTTCGATTCTGAAGCTTTTTTCAAAAATAAACGTTTTATGCGCTTAGCGGAAAACCGTACATTTGGGGTTCGCACATTGACAAAAACATGTCTCGCTCACTGCGCACCGGGAGCGCGGAAGCACACTGTTCGAAGCTTGTCTGTTTGGGCACAAGTAGTAATGAAAAAATCAACTCTGCCATTCGTAGTTTTGACATTTTATTTGCACACTAAACCCTTATGCATCTTGCATATAAGACTTGCAGCGTCTTGTGCAGCCATAGGTATGCTCAACTTTTCATACCTAAGTATTCACAATTTTGTCCACTATCCTGAAATTTGTGTGTAGTCATGTACGATTTTGACATACTTACGCACCACTTAATTTTGTGCTTATATTAATGGCTGTATGTTTATGCACAACACAGTGCACGGTTTAGTGTCTGGACTCGGCACATAAGTTGATGCCGGATATTTTTAAAAGTTACGGCCATAAACTAACGATACACTTTATAGTGCATTAATCGCTTTTAGGAATTACCGTAAGTTCACACGCCATGCATGTATATGATTCAGTCCTGCCTCCCGTCATTCTGAACCTATAGCGTCCGTAAGGCATAATTGGAATATTTGGAAATACCCATTTAACTGGTGCGTTATTTAATTCGTAAACTCCCTGTGAATAGAAGCAATCTCAGAGCAAGTCTTCTCTCTTTAACTTTAATCACTAAAAACGAATGGCCAATTAGAAGAGCCAACTTGCGTGCGGTTTGAGTACTTACAGGTTTTAGTATGCACTGGCCTTTTGTTTCTCGCTTCTTAAACAAAGGTTCATAAAGGGTAGGGACATTGGTTTTTATATGCGTGCACGCTTTGTCCTTCCTAAAAAAGACAAAAGCGTTTTCCTTCCATTGGTTATTTCTCCAAACATCTAATATTATTTTTCCCTGTTTAAATAGAGATGTATACTTGAAATCATTTTACAATCCTCCACTTCGCTTGGTAACAGCAGTGTCTTACCCAGCAGTTGTCATCAAGAGAACCATTTACACCTGTCACGTTCCCGCTTAGTAGCAGAATTTCTCTTGGTTTATATGGATTGAAGCGAGTAGTATGGATATTCCATTTCCATGCAGGCGTGCGATTTTGAAGTTCACACATGTGAAAGCGGTCGACGACAGTTATGAAAGGGCCCTACACGGAAAAGGAGTTAGGAACGTGATAAAGTATTGTAAAGGCTATGTTGTTTTTTGTTTTTTTTGTTTCTTTTTTTTTTTTGTATTATTCACTACTCTGGAAACTCAAGTGTCGTACAGTATCACACTTATAAGTGCAGTACCATGGTGTCCTACAGTTATAAGTGTAGGACCAAGGTGTACTGCAGTTAAAAGTGTAGGACACCATGTGGCCGACAGTTAAAAGTGTAGGACACCATGTGTACTACAGTTTTAAGTGTGGGACACATGGTGTCCGACACCTCAAGGTGCCAGCTAACGCAAGTGTCGGACACCCCTTGTCCCACGGCGTCAGGTCGATTGCGGACATACCTGGGAGCCGAGGGTCAAAACGGTCGATTGCGGACAAAGTCTGTTTGACGAGCGGATTACCGGGACCCGAGGGTCCACGGGCCTGTCCGCAATCGACCGGGACGGGTCTGGGCTGGGCGAGTGAGCGGCGTCGAGGTTTCAGGCATAAGGCCCAACTAACTGTAGGTATTCTCAATGTTTTGGCTTTGAACTCTGTATTCTTCTCGTGCCTTATCATCGAAGCAGGCTAGTAAAATTTAAACTTGAAAAACAATAAAGAAACTGATGAAGCAAACCTAAACTAACAAACCTAACCCAATACATGAAGTCAGTAATGATGCAATTATCTTTGAAGCCAATCGGTTTAAAAATGATGAAGCAAACCTAGACTAACAAACCTAACGCAATACATTGAAGTCCGTAATGGCGTTATCTGTGCAGCGTTGCGCTTCGCTATCGCTCCGCGCAACGCTGATTCATGCGGATCCATACGCTTGGGTCATACGATTCCAAGTCTAAGTGTTAGGTATCATCTGCTAAAAGATACAACTAAGCAAACCAACGCTTAGGCATGGGGCGGCATAGGGCACGGACGCTGTGCGTCCACCTGGACGCGGCACGCCACGCCCGCCCGCGGTCGTGCCCTGGTCGATTGCGGGCAGACCCGTGAACCCTCGGGACCCGGTAATCCCCTGTCAAAAAGACTTTGTCCGCAATCGACCGTTCTGACCCTCCGGACCCAGAGATGTCCGCAATCGACCGTCCCCCGTCGGACACCATGTGTCCTACACTTAAAACTGTAGTACACATGGTGTCCTACACTTTTAACTG